TGTCATCTTATAGTATTTTTTAAATTTTTTAAATATGTTGATAATAGACCAAAACATGTACCGAAACACAAGCCGGTATCGTTAATTTTGTAGAAAATGGCAACGAAAGTTCGTTTTTACAATATAAAAAACTACTATTTTCAACAAAAGAGTTACAGACATTTGCAGATGAAGAACCAATCTATACATGGTAGTTTTTACTTATATTTGATTTGGTTTAGTTTTGTCACAAAATCTACCGAAAAACACCCTAATTTTGGTTGATTTGCAAACGCGTCCTTAAGGTCCGTCAATTTTGCACTTTATGCCGCAATAATTTTTTTAAATAAATAAAGCAATGTGTTTACAGTGAAATAGCCGAAGAGGAAGTTGACCATTTGTTCGCTTCGGCGGACGACGACCATGATGACCTGCTGTCGTTCCACGAGATCCTGACCCACCACCACGTGTTCGTGGGCAGCGAGGCCACCGACTACGGGAACGACTTGCTCGGCGAACGCTTCGACGATGAACTTTAAACTTAGTCCAACGTTGGCGACGAACTAAACACAGGGCTGGATACGTGCCATTTTAGTCAATGTAAAGAGGTCGGTCATGACTATTGCATTATCGATAGAATTTATTCGATTAAATAAGAATGATCTACTTAATATTTAGCAGATAGTTACTATTTTTAGTGTATTTTAAGCGAATGACGCTTTATTATTTTTTAATACATCTTACAGTATTGAAGGAAAGAAAATGATCTATTCCTCTTAGATTTTTGTTATTTGAAAACATTTTTTTATTTTCATGTTCGAAAAAATACCATAGTGTAATACTATTGCATCGTCATATTTGTTACACAATGGTGTTTGTCTCTTAACGCAGGTCCTCAAAAATCTACTGCTGAACATAGGCCTGCCCTCATAGAAGGAAAGTTGCCACACTCGGCAAGCGAATTGTTGAGTCAATGATATGGAGTATATTTATTCCAACCAACTCTGTTTCCTTTTTATTTCAATGGGGACTTTTTATACTTGGGACCTCATGTAAATTTAATATTTATAGTTATTCGTTATAATTGTATTATCATTAGATAAATAAAACATCAAGTGTATAATATTTTAATTGATAATTTGTTTCAACCAATTGTAATCTGTATAACTTCAAAATAATGCACAAAAATTTCATCAAATTAAAAAGCAATACTTTGTTTACTAGTCAGTGTGTTTTCCTTTTCGTTGATTTGGTAATTGAGACCACTTTATTGAGCCTATTGTAAAAATTATATTGTACTTATATAAAAATTAAATGAAAATATACCATGAGTAATAAAAAAATTCTAAAACTATGCAGTAATAAATACATAAAGCCAACAAAATTTTTTTCGATATTTCAAATTGGCCTTGTTTATACTTGGAAACTGGAGCGTGTATTTATTAAAAACATTCATTTTATGTTTCAAATTCGCTATATTAACAAATAGCGAATTTTGTATATATGTTGGGTATGTACTTATAAGACCAAATTGTAACTAACCGCATTCAATTGCAATGTTCGTAAGTGTTATCCATGATTGAAATTAGGAATAAAACAAGTAAAATGAAAACTTAAGTTGATTTTGTTAATGATTAATTTAATTCTTGCCTGGTTTTATTTGTTCTTGTTGTTTCTAGTTTCGAAATACTGAAGGGTAGAAAATGATGGATGGTATAGAACTTCCACGTTTCACAGGGTGTATTTTACTTATTCCCTTTTTATTTAACAAAAAAAAAAACAAAGCAGTCACATCAATGAATGTGGTTATTACTTAACTTGTGTCACTTAAGTGTGTTCTTGGAATAAACAAACTATTTATTGTATTACTTAGTCTTTTCCTTAATGGCATCGTTCTCGTTCTTTTTCCTATTCTTTAAAATTAATTTGCAGACATATATGATAATTGTTTGCGCGCCAAATGTGTCAGTGTCGGAGACTTTGGCGGGTCGAAATACGGTAAATTTTATCGACAAAGCTACGAGCACATAACCCTATAGAGACGTAATACAAGGCGACCCGAACCTGTCAACTCGTCAGTGACTAGTCACTGATATATTTCGGAACACTTTTGTTTCCCGACAGTTGCGACCAACAACTAGAACCGAGAGACTGCGTTAAATAAATAAAACAATACGGCATCATGTCTTGTTGTGCCGTTAAATGGTCGGAAACAACAAACAGTAAAACATGTAGTGTAACAACAAATAATATTACTTTTCATCGGTAAGTACATTTCTTTATTTTACCAAAATATTTTCAACATTAACGCAAAGAGGGTCAAGCTAACTACAGATACGTCACGCGTCACTCTCCGTCCTTTTTTGCATTTACTGCAAACATGTATGTCTGTCTCTCCTTATCATAATTAGCCTCGTGACGCTAATGACTAGTGCAGTGGTAGCGGTATTTATATCGTATTGTCGATAATTATCCACAAAATGATTATCATATTTAGATATCGTTGTTTTGGATATATTAGATATAGACAGATACATAATATATTAACTTTATATATATATATATATATATATATATATATATATATGTAACGTAATTAACGCACATCCTCTGATACCCCAATTAGTATAATATTATGTTATAATCATAATACATACACTGAAATTTTAGCTAAACATTTTTATGCACTGATTATTTATCAAATTAGTTATACTAATTCCAGAAGAATGTTGTGGTCACAGTACAAATCCACGAACGCAAAGACTTTAATGTGCTTGAAATAAAGTTCATTTTTCTTTATTTTTATTGAATGACAGAATTAGTAATAATACAAATAAAACTGCACTCTTAAGTCTTATTGCCTTGAGTTACGGTCCATTTCAGTTAGTTTGGACTGTACAGATTTAGTGTGACTGTAATTTACGTAGTTTTAATTATTTTTGGGATAAAAAATTACCTATATTAAAAATGATAGGAATCGGTTCAGTAAACGATTCTGAACAAACTACTTTCTCAAAGTGCGTTAATTATGTTTTGTGTTGTATGTGTATATATATACATACATATACATATATATATATATATATATATGTATATATATATATACATATATATATATACATATATATATATATATATATATATATATATATATATATATATATATATATATATAAACCTGGACACTTATTTATCAATACTACAGTGTGCAAAAAGTCTCATCATTTTCGAAGTAACGCTACTAAAAGTACAACTTTTTCCAAACAGAAGATAAGTAATTAAAAATAAAAATGATTTTGTGAAAAATAATTGTATGTGACCAATTGTGCAAATCATGTTAAAAACATCCCTACTTATCTAGCTACCCAACGAAGTATCAATTTAGCTTGTAACTTAAATAGTATTATATATATATGTAACTTAAATAGTATAATATATACTTAAATATATGAGACTTTTTTGCACACTGTAGTATTGATAAATAAGTGTCCAGGTTTTCATTAAGTAAAAATAATAAAATGAAAATAATACAGCTGTAAGTTTTTTTTTAGAAATTTTTGACACCAGACATTTGGGATTTTTGAAAAAAATAATTAAACCTAAATATATCGAAATTGATCCACATTTGCATAATGCATTTTATGGTTCATTTGATAGGTTATGACCCCAACTATCACGCCTTGGCGGGAATACGTCGAGTTACCAGTAACCCTGTATATATATATATATATATATACATATATAATTTTATATTGAAGTATTACTATGAGTAGTAGATTATTATTTACTACTCTTAGTAATACTTTATGATATTAATTATCATTATTCTTTTCGTGTATGAGCTTTGGATAAGTACGATAACAATGTTATTTTATTTAAATTGTATGATATTTTCCCTGTAGGTTTCCAAAAGATGGTAATATGAAAAACAAATGGATAAACGTTACAAAAAGAGAAAATTGATTTCCATCAAAATATAGCGTATGTGCTCAAAACATTTTACTGAGGATTGTTTTTTGATGACAAACAAGAAGCGGCGACTAATGAGTAGTGCAGTACCTACGCTGTTTTTGCCTCAGATGCAATACCTGTATAAATGCTTTAGTGTCATTAAACTAAAGTAAAAAAGAGTCTCATATTCTACAAAGATAATGGAGGGTTAATTTATCCCTCACAAATGGTCGTTAAAATATGTCGGCGTTGCGAGTCCGTAATCAAGAAAGATTTTATTAATAGTGACTCTAAAGGAAAAATCATCGCAGAACTGTTGAGCCATAAAGCTCTTAGCAGCTTTACAGAAGAATAATTATTCCCGGAGTATACACATCATCAATTTTACGCCGAAGAAACCAATCATATTATTGATTTAACGAAAAGTGTAATGAAGAAATATAGAATGACATTTATACTTAAAAATCAAAAATTGGAAGGAAAATGTGCAATTAGGAGAATATATACAAAATTAATTCATTTTAAAAATCGATAATAGCACTTAATAAAATAAATATAATAAATAAACATGAAAATCTTTTTTATTCTCTTTTCAATCCATCCGTACTGCCTCGTAGTGTCTTGACTTTGAGCCGAACTATCTTGCGTATCTCCTCAAGGGCGTCGCCAAGGGGGGCAGGGAGGGGCAGCTGCCCTCCCCCCTAGAGATTCTAAAAAAGTTGCCAAATATAATGCAACCAAAGTCCTAAGTATTTGAGTTGATTTGCTTGAAGTTCAAGCCTTGAACAATCATTCCCGTGCGTCGAAACTCGAATGAATTCACCAATTCCACTCTTAATATTCCCCGTACTACGCTGCGCTCTGCTCTACTCTATCGTTGAAGCAGGAGAGAGGGAGTGGGGAAGCAAAGCAACATGTAACCGCGTGGCGCCCGCGCCCCCCCACACAGCCGCCTTTGTTTTATCGTCTGTCTGTCATTTATTCGTGCGTTAGCGTTACCACTGCCCGCTTTTACTTTGTTTTGTGCGCTATTATCACATCTAAATAGTTGCTGTGACCACATAATCAATATGGACATCAGAAATTTTTTTGGTGAGTATCACTTGCGTTTAGCTTTCGTATTTTCCGTCCGTAAAATAACGTCAATTGATTTGATTATAAATGCTGATTTTGCATCGGTTTTTAAAATCGCAAAGATCCGTTTCTAGGCACGATATCCGATTCTTAAGGGTCGTCAGTTTAAACCAAATGGAAAATTGCTCAATTTAATGGTTCAATCGAAAATAGGACCGTATTAACATAGCTCAAAGTAGAAAATTGTATGAATGAATATCGGCAGTGCCGATTCGGCACAGTCGGCTCGCGTATGCTTGAGACTCCGGTGCGTGCGTGTCGTCGCGCCCGTTCTAGAGTGCTCGAGCGAGGATGCCCGAGACCGCGCGAGCATAGCCGCGGCGGTTAAGGCGCTCGAAATAGCTAGGACTGTTGATATAAAAAATATCATTGACGCTAGTCCTTGCGCGGGCTCGAGCCTGCCGCCGTCTTGAAGGGCATTTATGCTTTCAATGTGAATTGCGGACCAGAAGAAGTTGTTGCTATTTCAAATATTTTATTTTGCAGTTTTAAAAAGAAAGAAACCTGAAGGAGCAAGCAGTGACAGCGATGATTCCGTGGGTGACCTGGCGAGACCTAGCACATCCAAAGAACCGAACTTAGTTCCCGACTCTTCGATAAATGACTGCAACGAAAATGACATCGGTAAATTTATTGGACAAGCATCATTGTTATCGACTGAAATGAAGAAAGAATTGCTTGAAAACACTTGGTCTCCGTCTGCGACGTATGACTTTGCGGAAGACGCTAAACATTTGAAGAGGAAATTTAATTATTCATGGTTGGAAACGTACTCTCCATGGTTGGCCTATTCCAGGCACCAAAAAGGAGCCTTTTGTAAATAATGTACATTGTTCCCGCCAAATCCAAATTCTTTTAGAGGCGTATTAGGGTCATTTATCATAAAGCCGTTTTGTAAGTTCAAAGATATTCACGAGCATTGCAAATAGCACATGGAAACCCACTTCCATAAGATGGCACTGGAAGCCGCTAAATCATTTCTTGGAAGTGTGCCTGTAGATTTACAACTCAACAAAACTCTCAACAAAACAACTCCCGGGGCATTATTGAAGAAAACCGAAAAATTATAACATCTATTTTTTCCGGTATTACGTTTTGCGGGTCGCACGACTTAGCTCTGAGAGGAAAACATTATGGCGAAGGTATTCTCGAGGACTTATACAAGCTACGAATTGACGCGGGAGATTTAGTTTTGTTGAGCATGGGAAAAAGAATGCAAGCTATCGATCGATTGCTATTCAAAATGAAATTATCGCAATTTGTGGAGATGTTATTAAGGCAGACATTGTGAAAAAAGTAAAAGAAGCAGAAGCTTATAGTATGTTAGCAGACGAAACAGCTGATATTACCGGTACTGAACAATTATCGATTGGGCTGCGATATATTGACGAGGAAGCCAATGAGGTCCAAGAAATGTTCGTCGGATTTGTTGAGCTGAAAGGTCTGGATGCGAAATCTATTGCATATTGCATCGATGAGTTTCTGACAAAAGAAGACCTTAATCCTGCTGATAAATGCGTTGGTTTTAGATTTGACGGTTGTTCGACGATGTCCGGAAAAGACGGTGGAGTACAAGCGATCCTTCGCAAAAAATATACCAAAGCACTGTTCTTTCATTGCTCGTCCCATAAATTGAATCTAGTAATAAATGATCTCAATATTCTTCCTGAAATTCGAAACACCATGGGAACCACTAAAGATATTATTAATTTTTTTCGGGAATCTGTTTTGAGAAGAAAATTGGTACCTAATATTGCCAGGCTCTGCGAAACAAGATGGAGTGAGAAACATAAAACTATCAGAGTATTTAAGGAGAATTTTCCTGTTATATTGGAAGCCTTAGAAAACTTATCGCGTGAAGGAAACAGTGCTACTCGAAAAAATGCCTTTCAACTCCATGCGGCTGCTTTCAAAATTTCGTATATACTTTGTATTACTTTGATAGCTAAATACTCTGCTTTGTTAGAACCTGTTGTCAACGCACTCCAATCCATAGCTTTGGATGTGGTTAAGGCCTCGCAACACGTCAAACGCATTTTGCAATTGCTTAAGAGCCACCGTGATAATCCCGAAAGAGTCACAGATGAAATTATAAAGGATGCTACTGTTGTTGCGGAGAAAGTCGGCCTGGAGGAGGATATCACTTCAATGCCGCGCATTGTTGGGAAACAACGTCATCGAAGCAATCACCCAGCAGAAAGCCCTTCAGAATTCTGGAAAAGATCATTAATAATACCATACTTGGACTCCGTTATTACATCGCTTGAAACACGCTTTGCTGAGGAAAATACTCCATCATTTGCTTTATCTAAATTACACCCGCACAAATGCAAACGATGTCAGTCGAAAATCTCACAGAAACTTGTGAAACTATCGCTCAGTTTTATAATTTACCAAACATAAAAATTGAAGTCGAGCTTTGGCAGCAATTCTGGCATAATAAACCAAACTCAACAGATCAAACCGTTGTTGATATCCTAAAAGAAGCAAAAACCTTCTTTACCGACACGGAAAAAGCGTTGAAAATTTTGATCGCTCTTCCATGCACGACGTGTACGGTAGAGCGATCGTTTAGCAGCCTCAGGAGACTAAAAACCTGGCTAAGAAGCACTATGAGTGAAAATCGCCTCAATGGTTTGGCCATGATGAGTGTGCACCGAAAACTTATACATGGAAACTTACAAGATTTTAATAATAAAGTGGTCGAGAAGTTTACAATGAATCCCCAAAAATTATATTTTAATTAACCTAATATAAACAAACAACGACCATTATAATATTAAAATCTGATAATTAAAAAAAATACGCTGTACGCTGTACATTTATTCAAATTCAAACTCCTTTTTATTCTATTTTTCTAATAAATGTTATTATAACTTATTTGCAAGTTTTTTATTGCATAGTCAAGAGCTCGTGCTCGTGTAGCTTTACACATTGGACTCTGTACTGTCACAGAATACCTACAATTCATACCTACTTTACCTACAATTCATACCTACTTTTCTCATTCATAGAGAATGAGAAAATTATGAATATGTAGTAGTAAGTAGTATGTAGTATGTAAAGTCAACTTGCCCCCCCCCCCCTGCGCCATCGGCTGGCGACGCCCTTGTATCTCCTACGGGGCTTTTTTTATAGGAAAGGGTAACAAACGAGCACACAGTACACATGATGGTAAGTGGTTGCTGTGGCCCATAGACATCTGCATCTATCCTCGATCACAAATCTAAATGCAGATGTATTGTCACCCATGGGGAATGGAATGTCTCGTTTCCAGTAAAAAGGGTTGCCGGTTCTCTACACTCACCATACGAAACACAGCATAAAGCTACTATTTTATGCTGGTATTCTGTGAGAGCGTGGTCCTTCCCTGGTCGAGCCGACCCATTCATGGTACAACTATACTACTAATATATCTGCAACATGGCTCTACCATGTATTAAATATTTTAATTTTTTATGTTAAAGTAATTTTATGTTGAAGTTCAACAAATCACTAAAAGTTTATTTTAAACTTCTTTAATTGAATCTTGAATTTTTTTCGAAGTTGTCATTTATATTTTACCCGAGTATACTGCTTGAAAATGTTAGTACATTTAAAATTGCATTTCTTAGTTGCACAGGAAAATTGAAGTCACATTCAAAAGCTAGTTACTGATACTGAAATTATGTATTAAAAAAAGCGAAAAAACTTATCAATATCGATAGAAAGCATAAATTCATTACAATGCATGCCCTAGCGATCACAACTCCCCGCGCGCCGCAACTAGTTGACAAAATTGTTTTCTTTTAAATTCGCATGTATTACTTCTCTATAGGGTTAAGTGCTCGTAGCGACAAAGTGATCCCTCTTTTTTCTCTCTCTCTGTACATGTTGAAATAGCAGCCATTTTGTTTTTCGTGGGTAATATCCATTTCGTCTATGGTTTGTGCAACGGGCACCATTTAAGTTTTATCGACTAAAAACAATAACTGAGTCCACAACAAACAAAAACAACAAAAATGTTCAATAATAACAACGCACGAAATTTTTTTTGGTACAACAGAGTGTAATCACAACGTGGGACGAGGGACGACTATCTGTCAGTGCGCCCTAATCTGAGCGCAAGCGGTATTCTCTCAGTCTTACCTAATAACACTTCCTTTTCTTACATGCTCTTACAAAACACAGCATTGTCTAAAGATACACCCTTGAAATTCCTCGAAACCGTGGTCCTGTTCTTTATTAGCGGGATATTTAAGCTTTCAATGGTCTTATTCAAACCGTCATGGCTTACTATCTTACTTAGGGCTAATATGTACTTTTAAGCACACATTATGTTTAAAAATAAAAAAACATGTAGCTTGACAGTTTAGGTTTTATGAAAAAGCTAACAATTTTAAAAAAAATGTCGAAAAAAATTTGTTTTAAAAATTCTCGTTTGCTCTTTTATAAAAAAAGAAAAGGCAAAATTGTTATCATTGATTTATTGTCTACATTATTAGCTATCAAACGAGTCCTTCGTCTTCCTAGGACGTCTACATGGGTAAAAGGCTCGAGGCAAAAAAACAAAATGGCTGTGATTTCATCACGGAGAGAAAAAAAATAGGGATAGTGATTTGTCGACAAAATTTACCTTATCTCAGTCTCCGACACCGATGACCAGACACATTGTATATACAGTTAAAACCCGAATCAGAACGCCCCATCTTCACGTAGTCTTGTCTGCCCTATCCCTAGTGTAGCGGCGCTGTCGTCGCGCCACTAGCACACCGAAACACACCGAAGGCTAAATCGCGCTATTAACATTCCGAATCATAAACAGTATATATAGAACATCTCCGAACTATCACACGTAGTGTTGGCCGCTCCCCGGGCACAACACCTTGCCCGGCGGGAGATCTCCCCTTTTCCCTCTACGGCCACAGTGGTGACCCCGACGTGATCTGAACACGCAACCAACAACCTTCGGAAACTTCAAGCTTCATCATCGTCATAAAATACCCCACCCATTCGCTCCCGAGTAGATATCGTCTGCAGTCTTCATATCCTGCAAGCCATCTAGCTTCACAAGGTTCATCGCAGCACTAGAATAATAATGCTTCCTGTTCCTTCAAGCTACACTCTGCGCTACAATGTTCGGCACGGCTCTGAGACTTACTGCTCGCCTTTGCTTCACGGCACTCTCGCAGATTACTTTCCTTCTTCTCGACTCACCGCCGACTACAAGGCAATCTCCTGGCACTTGCACATTCGTCGGCAACGAGGCTGCACTATCGACCTCTGGTCTGAGCAGGGGGGTGATGTAGCGGCGCTGTCGTCGCGCCACTAGCATACCGAAACACACCGAAGGCTAAATCGCGCTATTAACATTCCGAATCATAAACAGTATATATAGAACATCTCCGAACTATCACACGGAGTGTTGGCCGCTCCCCGGGCACAACACCTTGCCCGGCGGGAGATGTCCCCTTTTCCCTCTACGGCCACACCTAGCGTTTTTGTAAAGCCGTAGACACGGAGGGAGAGCAGACGAGAACAGAAAGAATGCGACCAATAAGCCGAAGCTACGGTGCTGAGCATGGGTGCGTGATTTAGTACGCAAGAGCGAAGAGGCTGCATTTCCCGCAATATTCCTGTGTAAAAAACTTTTAATAAATATTAAGTAAGTAGTATCTTGTTTTCAATCCCAAATTAGTTTCTCTAGTGCTAGTAGTGACAACTAGTTTTATCTGTACTATATATATATATATATATATATATATATATATATATATATATGACTGCCTCGTTGGTCTAGTAGTTGTAGTAGTGCGACTGCGAGGTCCTGGGTTCGAATCCCGGGTCGGGCCAAAAATCAGTTACTGAGTTTTTCTGTCCAGAAATTCTCAGTAGCTGCCCGGAGTCAGGAAGTTGGCGGTGTCTCACCCCCGTGCAAGCACGTAAAGCCGTTGGTCCTGCGCCTGATCTCTCTCCGGTCGTGTCGGTTTAACCTCCCATCGGATTATGAGAGTGCACCTGTGCTTGCGCATGTACTCGGGCACTATAATCCATATATATATATATATATATATATATATATATATATATATATATATATTTGCCGTGTAGTGGCGGTTGAGAATATCCACTACCCCATATCTTCCCGTGGGTGTCGTAAGAGGCGACAGAGGGAGACAGGCAGGAGATGGGCAGCAGCATCTTCCTAATAACAACTGTGTTATAATAAAAAACTGCGGTTGCCAAACCGCTCGCCAAGCGTGGCAACTATGGCAAATATCCCCCCATGAGCAACGACGCAAATAAACGGCCCCCAGTCCCCGGCGGCCCCGCTATTCCTGGCTACGGTGGCGACCATGGTAACGGCGGGGCAGGGGATGCTAAGAATCTCCGGTGGAGGTTCGGTTGCCACCTACGACGACTCGACCTGGCAACGTATAACGCACGCACCCTTAGGACTGACGAGAAGATAATGGAGCTGGAAGAAGAGGTAGACAAGTTGCGCTGGCATATTATTGGATTATCTGAGGTCCGAAGAGAAGGGGAGGACACGGTAATCCTCGAGTCCGGCAACTTGTTCTATCACCGGGAGGGCGACCATCTGTCCCAAGGAGGTGTCGGATTTATCGTCCACAAGTCTCTCGTCAACAACGTTGTAATGATTGGAAGTTTGTCGACGAGGGTCGCTTACCTGATACTCAGAATCACCAAACGGTATTCGCTGAAGGTCATACAGGTCTACGCACCAACCTCGGCACATCCCGATGAGGCAGTGGAGGAAATGTATGAGGATATTTCTAGAGCCATGCATTCCTTCAAAACCCACTACACGGTGTTGATGGGAGACTTCAACGCAAAACTAGGCACAAGAGAAGGCGGTGAGCTGAAGTTAGGGAATTTTGGAGTAGGGCAACGGAACCGTAGGGGCCAGCAGCTGGCTGATTTTATGGAGAAAGAGGGACTCTTTATGATGAACTCTTTCTTCCAGAAGCGGCCCCACAGGAAGTGGACCTGGTCGAGCCCCGACGGTTCGACAAAAAATGAGATTGACTTCATTATGACGACCAGATGCCAACTGTTCAGTGATGTCTCAGTGATCGCAAGGGTGAAAACCGGCAGCGATCACCGAATGGTTAGAGGCGCACTGAACCTAAACGTTAAGTTGGAGAGGTCTCGCCTAATGAAGTCAACGCTCCGTCCCCCTCGTGCTCTAATCCAGAATCCCGAATCTTTTCAGCTCAAGTTACGTAACCGCTTTCAATGCCTAGAAGATTGCAATGCAGTGGACGATATGAATGACAAGCTCGTGGAAACTGTCCATGCGGTCGGAGCTAAGTTCTGCAAGACCCGCCGCAGAAGAACACAAAAACTCTCCGATCACACTCTTAATCTCATTGCTGTTAGACGGAAGATGAGGCTGCAAT